AGCTGGGCTTGGGGTTTCCGCCCGAGGCAATCGCTTCCCACGGTGTGTCCACAGCAGGGCTGGGCCCTCGTTGTCCAGGCACTGCCTCGTGTACCAATTCATTCACATGGGTATGGCATTCGGGCTGATTGATCCAAAGAAAACCACGGGAGGCGGGGGGAATAAAAGAAAAATAAAACAAAACCCAAACAAACGACTCCCTTATTCTGTTAAAGAACCCTCAATTTTCTTTTTTAAAAAAGGACCCATATTTTTCTTCAGACAAGGTATTTAAAAACACCAGCAAAAGTATAACCAGATCATGAAAATGTTGAATATTATCAAAGACGATACTAAAATATTCACAAAGATATTTACAATAGCAATTCTTAAAATAATTGATTTTGCATAATGAACAGCGCCTTTCTTAAAAAAACTTGAAACAGGAAAAATATAAGTGTGGGACCATCTCTACAGAATGTGTCTGACAGATTCCATACTCCTACCGGAAAACGAAAGAACTAAACCGCCGTTTCCGTTCCTACCTACAGCACGGTGCTGCTGACGAGCAGATGTGTACCACGATGCAGGCACAGCAGTAGTGGGAAACGTTAACAAACCAGAGCCAAGGAAAACAAAGACCGCAAAGGATTTACACACGTGACTTTGGTGAGGAAAACAAATCCAGGGTCGGAAGCACGGAGCATGCCATTTACAGCACTGCGGACTAAACACAGGGGGCTAGGAAGCCAGGCCGTCAAACCGACGGGGCGGGCGAGGCGCCGCCCGGCCCTGCAGTGCGGGACCTGTCGCGGTGAGCAGACGGAGGGCCTTTGGCCGGGTCTGGAAAAAGAGCCGGGTCAGATCTGCTTCATTAACGGAAAGAAACGAAACCAATAACTGTACAGTGGGCAAAAGCTGAAATGTTGCACCACAGGGGCAAAGTTGGCACACATGCACTTCTTACACAGCTACTGTACATCATTTATAAGAGACAGAGAGAGAGACGAAGAGCACAGAAATGGGCGCGGAAGCGATAGGAAGCTCATGCAGGAGCAGCGACCACACGAGAAGCACAGATCACAGGGGCAGGACAGCGATGGTGGCCGCAGGGTCTCTCCCGGGCAGCAGCAATCTGCCGACAGTTACTTATTCTCCCCACTCCTGGTGCTTCAGGAGAAAGAGCTCATCCCAGCAGCCAGAGTTTGCAAAAAGGAACTGAAGGAGGAGAAAAGAAAGAGGCTGAATTCTCTGTAACAGTCACGAGAACGGAACGCAAAGCAAACCAAAACCGAAGCGGCAAGCTGTCTGTCCAACGTCAACGCCCCTCGCAAGCCGATGCCGACAAACGGGTGTGCAGAGCGCCGCTACTCCTCCCTCCACCCCGCAGCCCGGCGCACTCCGTGCTGCGCAGTACGGACAGCCACACCAACGCTCGGGGCACCGAAGGCTGTAGATAACCAACAGGAACAGCTTGGTTTGCACCCCCCACGCCCCCCTCCGTTCCCTACGGCACACATGGCAAGAGATCTCCGAGAGCATCTTGGCAGCTGGGTGTTACTGCGGCCACCGACGGTACCCATCCGACACCAAACCCACAAACAAATCCCTGCCCACTGCAAGCATTTGCTTTTAGTTTTCATGGGTGTTTCCAATCTGCGTGTCGGGCCAGAGGAATCCTCTGCAAAGAGGCAGTTCAGATTCCTACAGGA